TAATATCCAAGCTCTCTGCTACGGGACTGCCCCAGTCTCTGTGCCACTGCAGAGAGATCTTCCCAGAAGCTGCCTTGTCTAGGACAGACGCTCCACTTCCCTCCCAGCACAGAGGATGCATCATCCTCTTGCCCAGTTCTCTACTGAGATCTCTAGTCTTGGGTCTTTAGTCCATGTCCAGGGATAGTTGTGGCTCTATATCCACTTTCAACAGCTAGTTCAACACCAGGCAGCACACCACACACCATGAGGAAGAAACTGGCCATCACAAGAGGCAGAGCTTGCCAACGATGCCTGTGTGGACTCAGTCAGAGGTACAGAAAATGCTTGTTCCTGCAAGCATCTAACTTGAATCCTGTCATGATAATACCTACTGTTTGCATCTGGAAACCAAAGCCCAGGCCAGTTACGTTCTGTGTCCACTAACCACAAAGAACATCCATCCTCAGGTGGCCACAGTCTTCTCCAATGCCCACTGTCTGGCTTGCAGGTAGACCGTAGGTCTTGGTTTTGATTTGTTTATATCATTTAGGTGGAGATTCTGGGAAGGTTTTGCTACAGTCACAACCACAGCAAGCGGCATCTCCCACGTGCACCCATGCAATGTGAGTTTTCTGAGCCAGCTCGGGGGGTGTGAGGAACCCTTAGGAAAGGCTATCCATGTCCTATTCATTTGCAAACCCCTCTCAAGTAAGATCTGTTATTCTGCTGCCTCTCCTCCCCCTCACCCCAGATAATCTACTTATTTCAGACGCTTCAACAGATGCGGAAAGGCATCAGAAAGAGAGCATGTCAGGAAGGAAGTGTGCAGCCCAAAGCAGGTATGTCAAAGAGGTTTAAGCATTTTGAAGGAAATCAGAAAGCTCAGATTTGACTCCCAGCAGCAGTCAGTTGCAGCCTCTGTTTTGCTGCTAGTTCACAGAAAAGGCAGAAAGGCCACAAGGTTTATTCTCTCACCTCAGATTCAGCTCTCTGTTTATAATTAACAGTTCATTTCCAACCCATATTTTTACAGCCCACCAGAAGAACAGCATCACATAAGAGCCAGAAGAAGAGATGTGGCATTAATGCTTTCCATTAAACATAGTAACGTGGCAGAAAAATCAGAGGAAAGAAAGAAGTGTGACAAGATCTCTCAACAGACACGAAAAGCTCAAAGCTCCTCAGTGCAGCAGGACAGCAGCAGGGGCACAGCTGGGTTCCTCCCTGCAGGGGGATGCTGCTGATGGTGCACCTCCAGCATAACCAGAAACTGAGATGCAACAGCAGAATGGGACCATATCCCCCCCCACCCCCGGGAGCCCAATGAGAGACCACTTCTGTTCAATACTCCCAAGTTACAGGCACTATAACGCCCCAAGATCACAACACAATGCACGAGCAAAGCAAAGCAAACTCCAGGGACCCAAGGGTGCTGTGTGCCAACCTCCCGCAGGCAGTATAGCAGCAATTCTCCAAAGCCATCTTTAAGCACGGGGTCAGGAATCCAGCCTGAACAACAGCCTCAAGGCCTCTGCAATGCAGCGTTTTCCCCTTCAGAGCAGAGTACTACCAAACTGCAGAAAACCCACAAGCACTGCACATGTTTTTTCTGTTCCATTAAATCAGCTGCTTTTGCAAAGTAAAATCTTTTTAAAGAGGGAAAAAAAAAAAAAAAAGTGCGGTCAGTCATTCGTCACTGCTCTCTGGTGAACTACCTCCTTGCCTTGCCCTTGCAGCTACACAGGCTTCAGGCCAAATCCCAACCAGATGCAAAAATCCCAGAGCGTCCTACTCCCAAACACACTGGGGAAAGCAGAAGAGTGGGATTCTTAGGCAGTGCTCTAAAGCACATCATTTGATCTGCTGCTACAGGCACCCGCCCCCTCCTTGGTCCGTGCCCTCAGGACCCCCTCTGGAAGGCTGATATGAACGTGGCTGTACAGAGAGCAGCACAAGGCAGGGGGCTCAGCACCCAGAAGGGCAGGGATTCCCCATCCACTCTCCGGGAATGTGTCACGTCTACAGGAAGAGTGGCAAGAGCAAAACTGAAGCCACCAGAGCTGTTCATTTCAGTAACAACCAAACCAGCTCGTATTTGTGAGTTGACTTACTCCCGCTGTGAAACAGCGGAGGAGGTAAGATAACGAGAAGGATACGGTCCTCAGAACTGATGCTACACTAACACCATCAATTTGGTGACAGTGGATCATGATACAGGCTGGTGGAAAGGAAAGCATTAACAGTACGCATCACTATTAAAAAGGTAATCAAGGGCTTTAAAAAAAAAAAATTCACTCCAGGAAAATAAATTTGCATTTGCTTCCAGCTTTCCATAGACATTATGTGGAATTACCATCTTAGCAACTCCCCCATCCCCATGCTTGCCAACTAGGGTTTTACACTCACTACTAGCAAGCACATTTTGTTTTCTGTTCTGGAGAAGGGCGAAGTATTAAACTGAGAAAAAAACAAAATCACACCACATTCAACGAGCCATAACATTTTCCTAGTACTATTGTTTATACCAACTTGAGAAGTGTTTCCAATCCACACAAGGAAGCAGGACTCGCTGTGCACGCAATGCAGAGAGCAGCAGTGAGCCTGTGGCGGGTGCCTCCGCGCGGGGCGGCCGGGGTGTGAGAGCCCTCGGGCTGCCCCAGGGCTCGTCTTGGCAGGCAGGATCGGCCGCTCCGGCCCGTGAGCTGCCTCTAACTCACCCACCTTGAGCACTGGTGGCATTGCAGTTGTGGTACGGGGCTTCAGCTGCAGATGCTTTTGTGCTGGGGGGGTTTTGGGTAGCAGGGGAGGGAGTTAGAGTGGTGGCCCCTTGTGAGAAGCTTCTTGAAGCTCCTCCAGCTCCAAGTTCATTTACCTGCTGCAGAGATAGAAGGAGCAGCAAAGGGCCATGCTAAAAGCAAGGGAGATGTCAGTTAAGTATCAGAAACAAATAAAAGCCAGGTGTGTTAATGACAGGAAGAGATTGCCTCTGGCACCACAACCAAAATCACAGCATACAAAAAAAAAAAATGTTCTTCATACTGTGATAAAGGATTTCAGTACAGGAGACAAGTGGGAGTCTTAAATAGCCAAACAGAAAACCACCACTGGAGTTTTTAAGAATTCTAGCTGATTGGAGGGGGTTGGAGAAGTTAGTTCATCCAGATGTGAGTACTGTGGTTTGGGCCCAGAAAGATGTGTTGGGCCATAGGAGTTGGGGAACACCTGAAAGATTAGTTCACTTCTTGTACAGACAAACAAAGGGCAGCCCCAATCAAAAAGTAATCTCTAGGGTTTTAAAAGGGTTAATTTCACATAACTGAAGAAAATTTTACAAACTAATTGGAAGAGAAAATGTAGAAGAAAAAAAACAAGACAGAAAATAGACAGTTCTTTAAAAAGAATTCCTTAGAGAATTCACATTTCTGTGAGACAGCTGTTTTAACTAAACCCTTGCTAATCAGTAACTGTACAGGTCAGGTCAGACTAGATGTTCACAGTAGAATTTTTAAATTGTGATATAAGAAATGTTATTTTTAATTTATGCAGGAAGTAAGAAGAAAATGTGCATTTGCATTAGATGAAGGAAAAAGAAGATATTAAATAACATTCCCTGGGGTTGAACACATAAGTCAGAGCACTCAGCCCATTTGCACCCATGAGACCTAAAAAGCTTTGGCTTGCCAACGCCCATCACACAGTAACATTTCATAAAACTGGACAGAAAGCCAAGGTACTCCTCCTCCAAGGACACATGCTACACACACAAGCAGGAAAGAGAACTGGGGCAATGTGAGTAACTCGGGTAAGACTTTTGTTGACTTATCACTGGATAACCACTCCAAACAACAAATAAGGATTATACAGCTTCAACACTATAGACTAAAATCTGGTGACAGATCTAAAAGAGGTTCCTGGAGAATAAACATCGAGCAATCTTAATACATGCCCTCAGAGACCAGTTTCAGCCCCAGTGCTGGTCGACATCTCAATCTAAAAACAAGCACAAAATTGTCACTTAAACCTTGCAGATTAGACAAGCAATAAATGGCAAAGACAGTGCAGTCACGGAGCGTGACCTGGCTCCCCTGGCAGGCAGGGCCTGTCCAGGGAAGACGTGCTGCAGCGCAACCAAATATGAAGTCATACATGTAGGAATGCAAGCGCTGCTGTCGGGGATGCCAGGCTGCATCTGGGACTGCACTGCATCTCTGACCCTGCAAAGGGTGCTGAGGTCAGAGCAGATAAACAACTCAAAGGACTAGGGCTCATGCTATTACGGGATGTACAGAAAGAGAAATAGAGTGGGAATCCAGAGATTTTTATCTCTATACACTGAAAGCATGTGTGCGGTTTATTGTTTTAAAATTATATTTAAATTCTACAGCACACTTAGAAAAGAGATAAGAAAGACTCTTTTAGACTAGAGAAAAAATTCTCAGTGAGGGATCTGAAGAGGTTAATCTGTTTAGTTTATAAAAAGGTAGATTCAGAGGCGATGCTTCTCAGTGTGTTCAAGGCAAAAAAGTGGAGGTACTAATGAAACCTTTAACAGAGAAAGCTTTAGCTGCTCCAAACTGAAACTAGAGGAATTCAAGGAAGAAACAAAGTACAAGTTTTCTTAACAGTAAAAGTAATTAACCTTTGATACAAGCAATGCAAAGTAAAAGTAGCAAATTTTCAGTGTTACAAATCTTTAAATTAAAACTGGATACTGCATAGATGATTTGTTTCAGGTAAAATTTGTTTTTCAGGTAAAATTGTTTCAAGTTTCTGGATCTGGGTGAAACTGCACAGTTTATACTAAAATTTGACAGGATTGTCTAGTTTTTAACTCAACAGATTTATAGTATTACAGGAAAAGAACAGCATCATCTATTGCTGCCAGTAACATCCGCATAACTCTCTGCTGAGATAAGGGTGACAGATTATAAATCATTCTTGCATCTGAAATGTCAGAAGCATTCAGTAATTAAGGCAAACCAAACCTCCAGCCTTCCTTGGCCACCCAGACGACTTACTCAGAGATGTGTACGAAGATGTCAGGCCCTCCGTCCGCAGGGGTAATGAAGCCATGGCCTTTGGAGCGACAGAAGCATTTACAGACACCTTTGTAGATGGGACCCTCCGATGCTCTCACGGTTCTGCAAAAGCAAGCACAAGACGAGGGGTTCATCGCTGAGCACAGATGCGACCGCTTCCAGTCGTGTCAGCCAGAGCAAATGGGCACAACCGCCCAAATACTCACTCCCAGTGACTATACTCCTCTGTAGTAACTGCTTAATACCCAGTTTCACACACTGCACATCTTTTGCCTGTAGGCTTTTTAAGGGAGATAAAGGTGATGAAGATGTTTACTGGCATTATAAACCATCAGTTGCCATCTTTAATCCAAATGCTGTATCACCCTGCCAAATTTTCTTTTGGACACTATATTAAATGTAAGCATCTTACACTTTTCATGAGTTCAGGAGTAGCAACGTACAGCTAGGTGGTGTATGTGCTTGCACAAATTTAACAGTAAGTGTGTGCATGCGGTATCAAGAGAATGCAGTGCATGAACACATGAATAAATGCATACACATGCAGGTTCATACATCTACACGCACCCCTTCTGCATGCATGTCTAGCATTAGCTTGCCAGATAGGATCCATGAAGTCAGTATTTCACCTCCAAATGACTGCAGCTGGGTACAAAGCCTAACTGGTATGCACAACACCAACCCTCAACATCAATCTCCTCCTCCGCTGTATTTTAAAATGAGACGGATGTGAAGACAAACCTTTGGGATGACTGACTTACTGCCATCAAGAAAAACAACCTGCATGAACTATGACCCTCCCTGAAAACTGTGTGATTAAATTATTTTCCCCATCAAATATGCTGAGTTGAATCTCCAGGGATCCAAACTCACTCAAATACTTTCATTAATGAAGCCAACTGCTTTAGACACCTTATGGGGTTAACGCAGAGGAGTTCCTAGATCAGGACCTTCTCATGCTGATGACTACCCAGTAGGTTGCTTCCACGTTAGAAGAGAATTTTTGGTGCAATTCTTCAAACTCAGTGATTGTGTTGCCACTTGGTTACATGCATTATGGCAACTTTGACACTGCTTTCCCAAATGTTTAAAAGTTTACTGAAGTCTAAATAAAAATAATTAAAACATGTGGTAATAGCTCTGATCCTTAGCTCTGTTCCTTAAGTCAAACTAACACTAAAAGAAATACAGTTGAAAGTGCTAAAAGAAGGAAGAAATCTCCATTAAATAATTTCATTTCCAGCTCTGAAAAGCTGTTGACACACCTGACCCCACAATGCTTGTTACACAAAGCTCTCACTGCCCTAAATAAGCCATTAAAGTTCAATTGTGTCTTTCAAGGAGATAAAGCACTGTAGGGGATAAGGCCCCATACTTGCAACAAACTAAAGTTAAATAATCCCACTGAACAAGCCCCTGCCTGTCACATCCATCTTTTGTACACAACTGAGGGGCCAGAGCTCACCTAGAGCTCCTTGTGATTAAAGAGGACGCAGAAAAAAAAAAAAAAAGTGCAATTTTGATTTTCAGGGCAAACAAATACAGCAAGATCCCTACACTAATTAACAACTAAAGACCTCTGGAAGACAAATAATAAATTCTTTAGTTTTGTAAGAACCAGTCTAGGATTAACAGTTGAGAAGAATTACAAAGAGTTCATTATTAACACAGCACTGAGGCAAGCTATCTTGGAATAGCTTTTCAAGGGCAATCCCAATTATCAAGTCAATTATGATCCTTTTAGCAATCTACTTCCATTACAAACTTCAGGGCATATGAAGGCTTTTGGAACTGACAACGTATAAATTTTTCTTCTGCTGCTGCTCTTTTTTTGCCTCGTTTCGAATACAGAAGTAATAATCTGAAGCATCACTGAGACTGATGCTATTTAAATCTGCACGGGTAACTCTTGAAGAAAAGAGCTCTGGGTAACATTGTAAGAAGCAAAAAGGCAAAAGCATGCCAACTAGATTAAGTGGCACAAAATAGGCGAGCTGCAGGTTTGAGATTTTATTTCCACAATGTTTCACTCAGCACTGCCAGACCTCAATTACACAGAAATAATTGCAAGATTGTGGCAGAAATGCAATGGATTGACCACAGGAACAAGTTACACCCTCAGACCCTTATTCAAAAGCCACTGAGATTAACAAAGAAGCCTGCATCGCCTTCTGCAGGTCAGCACCTCACTGGGAGGCCCATCACAGGCACTGGGAATTTCTTGCAATGGCCAAACCTTGCAACACCATCCTAGGCTGTGGAGGAGTCCCCTTTGGGGAGGGGTGGGCTTCCAGGAGCCTGCACAGCACCACAGCAAAGCTCAGGGAAAGACAGCTCTGCTGTAGGATCACTACCTCAAATACAAACAGCAGTTTTATGGAAAAACTCATACAACCTTGGAGAATCGTAGATTAGGGTTTGTACCTTGAAAATCAACATCTTTTACAGGTATATTTGAGCAATCTTAAGATAGAGATAAGAAAGCTTGAACAGGAAAAGGAAACAATTCCTCTGAAAAGTGACAGGGTCATGGACCATCCCTAAAATGTAACCTAGCTGATGGTAGCATAGGTGTCAGGACTGAAAGAACTAAAAACTCCAGTGAGGTCTGGTCCAGTGCTTCAGGGGCAGTAAGAAGAGAAGTCATGCCAAAAGAGGAGGTGGAGCTGATGAAGAAACACCAACAGGAACTGGTCCTGAAAGCCACAACCCAGCGTCTGAAGTGAAGCAAAGCTTCAGACAAGAAACTCTGTCTTGAAAAACCTCAGTGTTTTCCCTTCCGTGTAAAACTCTGGACTTAAAGAATGGAAAGGACTTTGAACAGCCTTTATGCAAACAGAGCATTGAAAAACTACAGGCAATTTGGACTAAAAGTCTAGTGTCATCAGAATTTATTGGAGAAGAGATAACAGTAAAATACCAAAGCAACTTTCAGATACAACCACCTCCCCGCCCCAACTCCCTTCACCTCGGCAGGGGCTGATCATTCTGCCCAAAGGCAAACATTTGGTTGTGACTGTGAAATGGAGGTTTCCCAGTACTCACGCTGAGAATGTCCTGGTCCGTCGAGTGGGCAGCGGGCTGGGGATGAGGTACCCTCTCATGGGCGAGGGGGAGCGATCCCTCGCCCTGCGGTTTTCAGGCAAATGGAGAGAACTGGGTGAGGATGGAGAGGTGGGGGTCTGCTGCGAGGCGGATGAAGTGGGCTCAGAAGACATTCCTGATGCCTAAGAAAAGCCTAGAGAGAGGAAGACATCTGATTTAGCCCAAAATGAGAACTGTCGTAGAAGGCACAAATTCTTCAGCTGATGATTTTGTAAGAATACGACTCACTTCCTGCAGACGTACACGCGGACACAGTTGCACCAAAATCTCTGTGTCAACGAGTTAATTTTTAAGTTTATTTTTAAATCTCACAGATTTTGTAAGATGTTTGAGGAAGCTCCACTGAAAACAGATTACTTCACAACTAACACTTACTTGCTTACTCCTGCCTCACTCACAGGCAATGGCTCCTGAGGCAGAGCTCAGCCCCAATACCAGCTGCTCCATGCAGCTCCCAGGCAGATGGGGTTTGACCACTGACAGCACAGAGGAGCCTCCTGCATCTGCACACAGACACACGTTACAGGAAACAAACACTAAAAGAAGAAATGCTGAAATAAAGGCTGCACCTCCACTGCTGGAGGTTAGTTTCGTGGCGCAGTCACCAATGCTAACTTCGTTGCTGCTGCTCAGCTACCAGCGCAGCTCTGTCAGAGTTTGTAACACCTTCTGCTTGACTGCAAGAAGAAAATCATGCAAGCCCTCCTTAATTCACTTCAGAATCAGACAGTTAATTTACTCTGCCATGTACAGAAACACGGACAAAGCTGGGAGGCGGTGGCTGACTGCAAGGAGGTGGCCCCTCCAGCCTGTAGACATCTGGCAGACCCAGCAGTCCCCTTTGGTAGATCTGAGCCTGCTACAATCTTCCAGCAACTGGGAAGTAAAATAGTCCACATTTGTGTTCAGACCCCTTGCAGCCCAAGTCAGATTTGCTGTTATTCACCCCTACAGAGGAAGCAGAAGGTCCCTTTCTCAGCACACAACAAGCAAAACTCACAGAATCCACAGAAAGGAGGACTGATTAGAAACAGCAGCACTTCTACACACACGGATGCATGGCCTACAGGTGCAGCAGTGACAAAAAGAAGATAACTCAATCAGCACTGCTCTGGTACTACTGTGAAAGTCCCCATCCACATCGGAAAGGGAACAAGCTGTACAAAAATCAACCAATAATCCACCACACTCTTATTTCATACAAATATCCAGTTATCTGGGTATCTGGAGTTAGCAAAAAGTGCTGTGATCTGGGTCAATAGCAAGAAGGCAAGAAAAGCTGCCTTTAAGATCAATAGTTTAATTGAACTGAAATCTCTCATATCCATTATGCACCCTCCTTTTGACACCCACACTCCCCAGCCCATGAATTATGGAGTGGATCCTTCACATGACATTTGAGAGATGCAGCCTTCTTGTCAATGACAAATTCCCATTATTCCTTCCCGAAACTAAGGACTAAAATTAAAAAAGGCCTCTTAAGAATGAAGTCACCAGGGAACAAAAGCTTTTGTGTTTAATTGCTCAGGGTGCTGAGAAGGTAAAAGTGGATAGTTATGTTCCCTCATGTACCAGCTTGAGCTGCTTTCCACATTGTTATGAAGAGCAACAATTCCACTGAAAACAAAACCACAGCTTTATGGTTGGTGTTTCAAATACGGATGGTGTTTGCCATGCATGAGCTAAAGCCCAGATCAGCACCATGGCACAGCTCAGCTGAGACTGAGATGGTTACACCAAAGGGACAGCATTTTCCAAACTTCCTCCAAAGAGACTCAGCTGGTACTGAGGAAGTCTCCTCAGATTTTGAAAGACCTCTCCTTTGGGTGCCTCGCTTTCAAGGGATGCATGTTTGACATAGCAGGACTATAGTACAGGAAAAATAAGAGCGAATAAAATATTTTCCTAGTAACTCAGTACACATGGTCTGGCCTTTGCACAAGTGAAAATGCAGCTTTCAGAATCACACGCTTTCTCGTGTAATCTAAACACAAACCAGCTTGTCAGGTGACAAGCAAAACGCAGAGCTATTCACCCATCCACAGCAATGCAGTGGAGCCAACCACAAAGTACTGCCCATCCCCTTCCTCAAACAAGGGTAGAGAGGCAGGAGAATTTTCCCTCCTTTCTTTAAACCACAGATGAACCACAAAAATAGTTACAAATAAGGAAGCCTAAATGGAGCTAGAAGTGTGCTAACGTACGTTATTGTTCCCATTTAGGCTATTTTTGTGCCCTCTGCTCCGTAAACATAAAATAAAACAGTGATGTAGAACATTCAGTGCCATTTCACTGTACAAATACCCTTTTTGTTCTCTGCCCACGGGCAAAGTGGATGAATGGCCTTGACTCTCATAATTTCTATTACACAAGTCCTAAATCGTGATCAGAGCTCGACGAGAGCTCACACACGAACGCACGCAGCTGGAGGCAGCCAGGAGCAGCTACGCTCGACTTCACACCCGCCGAGCACAGCTCAGAAGAGGACGGGATGTCAACGAGCAGGGAGAGGCTACGCTCCAGCTCAGCAACAGCCCATATGGGCATGGATGTTGTACCACGGCACGGGCAAGTGCACCGGCACATCCGTTTGCCTCTTGGGCTTCTCCAACAATCGTAAAAATCAAAGGTAATGAAAAGGACTGGCCACTGAATTACCAAGTTTTACCGTGGGCACTGCACACAGCGGGATGAGAGCAGCTCCTGCCTAACCTCCGCTCATCTTTCTCAGAACAGATCCCTTCGTCTGAACCTTTCTGAAGGCAAAGGCAGAGTTTCACAATTTCAGTTTGTTCTGGTGTGGTCACTGTCTTGACGTTGTTCGTACAGGGATTAACTCACTTCCACTGGCAGCACGCTTGGAGGAGCAGAACCTCTGTCCCCGCTTGTACGCACAGCCGGAGCCTGGGCAGTGCTTCTGCAGGCAGCCTACAGCAAACACTCAGACCGAAACCCCACACCCCCAGCCCTCCCAGCCTTCCCCTTCACACTGGTTTTGCTTTCCAAACGCAGTTACTGGCAGTCTCCAAAGATGCTTTTCAGACGTTATCCTGCATTCTGAACTGACCCTCTGCAAATCAAAAATCACCCTTGGGACTCAGACAGCTGCCTACCAGCCCTTCCTCAGCAGCCACAAATACTCTTTGTGATTAGCTGGACAAACCTACTTTCTTACACGAGCCCACTACCTCCCAGACTGTTTCCATTAGTTTTCCCACGTCTCCAGTCCAGCCACCACTCTCCACCTCCCCACAGCAAGGAAGGCATCGCACGAACCCCAGACAGCACGAACAGAGCATCCCACCCCGAGCTTCTCACCAGCATTCCGCTTGCTGTGCCTCGTGTGAAGGCAGCCAGGACTTCACAGCAGCAAATCAGAGCTACAAAACCCCAGCAGCATGAGATACCAGCTACAACAGAGATGAGGGACAAAACAGTCCCTCTTCTGCTTGAGCCAGCAAAACATTTGCTGTCTGTATTTACAGACTGAATGTAACAAGATGCAAGGTGGTGATATTTTCAGGTTTTTTAGGAAACTCCGACCATGTGCTTTTACATTACCCTTAAGTCTGGCCATATTTTAACATGCATCATCTATCTTTAACCAACTTGATTTTTTTTTGTTTTGTTTTTCAACTGTAGGTGTGCAAACTGAAATATAAATAAAATAATCACAGAAGCATCGTGGAAACAATAGACTAACTCAACATTTCAAATAAAAAAAAAAAATATATACTTCTTTTACCATACTTCTTTTCAGAACAATTGGACAATGTGTACACAAAGAGACCCCAAAATGTCATCTGTAACAGGTGACCTACAAAGCACAGAGTGCGATATACGCAGAAGAAATTTCTGAAATTCTCCATAAAATACTACACAAAAAAAATCTACTGAAGTAATTAAGGTTGGGGGTATGTAAGTGGTACCATCATTTCTCTATATATCTATACACTCTTTTTCTGTTCTTCTTTAAGTCTACCCTATACCTCTAAAAGTACCCTAAAAAATAGCAGTTTTGTGGAAGTTACCCATTCTGACCAGCACAACACTACCACAAAAATCTAGCCTCACTTCTAATTAAAGAAAATGCCTGGAAAAAAGTCCAAATGGACAGGGCAGAGTGTCAGATTCCAGGAAATTTCTCCGCCTATGAACAGTTTCTTTTTCACACAACAGACAGTGTAAGATCTCCAGCAGGCACAGAGCTCATTCCCAGGAAATGCTCTGCATGCTTCAGTGCTCCAGCACAGAGAAAAAGCTTTCCAGCCTCCTTAGCCTGGAAATGACGCTGTCTGGAGGAGCTGCTTTCAGAAGGTACCACGACGGTCTGTGAACAGGATAGCACTGGCCACACATGCCTGGAAATCCAGACCTTTCCTCAAAGGGAGAGAGAGGTTTCTGTACCCCGAGAGCAGCTGCTTTCAGCTGGGTTTTTCTAGAAGTTAGCTCTTCCAATTCAACCTCTAAGAGGAATGTGGACATCTGAAAAATGTTTGTTTTCTGGGCTTCCCTTGAATTTAGAAACAACATCAAAAACTCTTTTTAAGTGATGCCCTTTTAAATCTCCTGGTTTCCAAATTTATTCTACACAGCAGCATTTCTTTCCTTCTCTAAGGAAGCCACGCAGATAAACCCCTGAGCTTTGCCTGCTCTTCTGCTGACAGCTACAAGCTCTTCTCAGCGAGAGAAAAACCACGGCTCGATGGCACACGCTGAGCACTAGACACTGATACTGCTCCAAAGTGCCCTCTCCCAACAGTATGTACTCTTCTCTCATCTACTGAGAAAGTGAAGACAGGACCCTCTGCTCCACACTTACTTTGCCCTGAAGGAGGAGAGGAACTGGGGTGCCTGGCTCAGCAGGGTGCCCCCCAGTTCTTCTAGAGCAGCTCCCTGGCAGCTCTCTGAGACACCCGAGCACCAGGCCACAGCACTGTCCCCACCTGTAGTTTCTTTCCAAAGCACTTTTTGGCACTCAGACCCCAGTGTACACAAAGATCCCAGTGCCAGAGAGCACCCCAGCACTCCTCCTGCGTCAAACACTTACAAAACGCACACAACCACCACACAGCTGATTCAAAAAGCTTCCCCTTCCAGCTTAGTTTGCATGACTAACTTTCCACAATTAAT